ACTTGATCACAATGATTAAAGTTTGACAAACACGATGGGGAGTGGGTTTAAGTAGAAAGGAAAACACCCAACAATAAAAACTGGTTACAGCGAGTGAATTATTTACCTGAGTTTGGCCACATTTCAAAATTTTTGATCCAAAGTCTGAAAGTGAAAGAAGTCACATGAATACACAGAAATCTCCTCTAAACATAAGAAAAGAAATTCATTTTTATGAGAATGTGACTGTAAACAGCTGTAAATGCAGCTTAGTCCACTGTGTAAAAGACTAATGTGCTGTTAAATGTTGCCAAACAGGACGTGCAGGTCAGAGCTACTGTGTCAAACTATTTGGATATAGTCTACAAACAAAGCAGCGTCTCACATGATGCATCTGTCACATGACAAAGCTACACCCCATCAGTGGGCTATGTTTTGGTGAGGAAGACATGATCACACAATAATACAGTAGTGTTAACAAAGGAAACACCTGTAAACAAGCATCAAGATGACCGATCTACCAATACAGTCCAACATACACAAACACACATTTTTTAGAGGCCTCTCACTGACATAATGCCTGACCCCAGCCCTTCCCCTAACCCTGACCTAAAACCAAGTCTTATCCCTCAAACAGCCAACATGTCGTCACAGTGATGATTTCAAGCTAACGTTTCTCCACTCAACCATAAAAAAGACTTGTCCACACACACTTTAAGGTAGGTATTGATAGAGAGCGTGCTCGTCATCAGAGGCAGTGCATCTACTCTCTCTAACAGGTTTTTTAGCTCTTGTGTGAGGACTACAAACACACAGTTGACATGTTTTATATGATTATAACAAAACTCTTCCTGTTTTTGTCACCACAAAGCACCAGACATGCAACAATGACAAGAATACCAGTAAACTCACAGCATCACTGATGCAGATGCAGCCAGGTGTCATAATCACCTTAATTCCTAACAAATGTTATGAAAAGGGCCTTAGCTCCTTTTAGAAAATCTTGATGTTGGGATGTAATCTGCACCAAATAGTACATGCAGCCATATATAAAATAATACTGCACTCACATTATTTGTAAAACACATACTTGTGAACATTGAGGGAATGTTATCTGATATTTCTATGTTTCAGTTTTACTCACACACACAGATCATGCAACTCTGGGTGAATGTGTTCATTTCTCGTTATTCTGTCCTCTGTACAACACCTTTGACAAACCTGTTTGGGTAGCACCTTTTCATTAAAGCCAAAAGGTGTGTTATCAGTGAGCTGGGCCTTTATTTGCTCTTTTAAACGGTGGAGATAAACTTAATGTGAGCTGTCTGTTACTACTGCATGTCTACACACATGCATGATTTTCACTTTGGCTTTCTAATGCCTTAAGACTTGATTTTGGATTTGAAGTCATATTTAGGTAATCAGTTGTCAAGTGTGAAATCAAGGCTTCAGAGAGTCATTTCTTAAAACTCAGGTCTTATGATAATCAAGTCTTTAGGGAATCACATCTCAAGCCTCAGGTCGGGTCTGTGGTGGAAATAAACTGGTCGGCCTTTCAGCGTCTGTTTCAGCTTGTTTGTGACTGAAAAGAACTATGCATGCTGCAACATCCATGTATGCCTGCACCTAATGAGTGTGTGTTTACATGAGACACGCCCGTTATAATTCGACTGTCAACTGTGAACATTTTACATTCAAAACATTTGCATATTCCAACAGACGTCTTTTAATCAACAAGGTATTTTTATACTCACAACCACACCTTTAACTGCACTTTAGAAGTTCCGGTGACAGTGAAAGTGTCAGTGATCAAATGGTGAAAAACTAAAACTTTAATAACTAGAGTTATTTCTCCATAGAATAAATGAGGATCTACTGAATGGCTGAGAGCCCAGGGGTCTACAATATATAGCACAAAATGTGACAATGTTAGATCTGCTTGAACACAGAGGTGAGCAAGTCAAAAAAAAGGACGGACCCAGGTAGCTGACTTCGGTGCAAGTAGTGCTCAATTTATTTACAGTGATATTAACAAACAAGTGAATAACCAGGTAGGAGTGGGACCGGGTGTCGAACCGCAGAAGTGGAACAACAGTCAGTGGTGGAATGATGAGGGAAAGACCAGGCTGTGGACGCTGGGACTCACTCCTGGGCTGGTCATGGTGGAAGGTTGCTTTTTACAGGCAGTTAATAGGAGACTGTACATTGGTGGAGATGGTGCGGGGTTGAGGAGGTCCGTGGTCCAGAGAAGCGACAGAGGTGAGGAAGATGAGACACAGGGGCACAAGACTGGAACGGAGCTAGGGCGAAAAAGACGTGAGTACAATACCAAAGCTAACAATAACGAGAAACAAATGGGCCTGATGATACTAGAAAGAACTGGCAGCGGAGTGAACGGTGAGCAGGGAATTAATAGGGAGAAACTAATCAGGTGCAGCTGGTGGTGATCTGGGGATGTGAAGCAGGTGTGTCAGGAGGGAGGCGGTGGCCACCGGAAGGAGGGACTCACCGAGGCCCCCCAGGCTTGTCCGGGTGTGCGTGATCGAAGGAGGTGAGAAGGGCAGGATCTAAAATAAAGGAGCGGGATCCAGGACCACTCCTCCGGACTATAACCCTCCCAGTCAACCAGATGCTGGAAACCCCGGCCCCTAGGGCAGACATCCAGGATCTGCCCGACGATGTATGCTGGGCCACCATCCACCTCCAGGGCAGGAGGAGGTGGAGCCGGCGGCGGACAGAGGGGACTGGTGGTGACTGGTTTGACTTGTGAAACATGAAAAACAGGGTGAATGTGGAGGGAATCAGGGAGTTTAAGTTTGATGGCAGTGGGGTGTATGATTTCCTGGACAGTAAATGGCCCCAGGAACCGGGGCGAGAGTTTGGGGCATGCACCTTTAATGAGGATATGAGCAGAGGAGAGCCACACTTGTTGCCCAACCTGGTAGGTGGGCAACAAGTAATGGGTAATGGTGCGTTGTACCCCCGGATGGCATGCTAGCCGAGAGGCATGGGCCCAGTTGAGGGTCTGGGCCCTAGCAGCCTGGGGGACGTATAATCTATCTGGTGGTCCACCCCCTGGATCGGGTTCCTGTTGCTGAGCCTCCCGTATGGTATCCTCGATCTCCCATGTAATGGAGGCTAACCTACACGGGGCGGGCAGAGAAGGGTCCGG